GGTTCCCAACTTCCATATAGGAGGACAAATTATTTGGGCCAAACAATACAATGTGGTTTGGAAACAATTGGCTTTTATGGGCACAGTCTTATTCTTTCCATATCCATCTTTTTAAATTTGTGAAAATCCAGCCAATTTTTTTTCAACACTATGCAATTTCTCAAGACTCATGGAAAAGACAGCTTGGGTTGAATTTTTTTTTCAATTTTTGCTTATGAAGAAAAAGAGTTTATTGTATAAATCCAACATATATATATTTGTGCAAGCATTCATACATTGTGTTTTGAGTATTAGTGGAAAAGCGTTGTATCTTATGTGATGGGCTTTGTCTTCTGGTTTAGTTCTTCAAGGTCCTGACTCCTAGTCCTATACTCATAGATCAAGCACGTTCAGGCACAAAGCAGGAATTTGAGAGGAGCCATTTTCTTCGTAATTCCCTCTTCTCCTTTGTGCACACACTTGGAAATGTAACTTATTTGCATCTTTTCAGACACCCTTGAGGTACTTGTCTGTCCTCACATCATTTTTAGATAACCAAGAAGTTTCTTTGTAAAACTCTCATTCTGCGATGCCAGATGGTTGATGCCACCCTATAAGACCATACTTTGAGCAAAGAGGACCAGCTTAGCAGGTAGATGAAACAACATCAGTTACAGTTATTGTCACATCTCCCATTTAGCAATGGTAAAATGTACTTCTCATCACGTTTGTTCCAAACACAAAAATGATTAAAATTGATATAGTTTTCCTTTTATTCTAAGAATTGAGCACAGCGGCTCCCTCACAAGTATTAAAAGGAAAAATTAAAGATAATAAAATCTTTACTTTCTCATGTTTCTCAGCATCTTTTAGAAAAAAAAAGCTTAGTGGTACATGGCTCAGTGGCCTGAAAATATCTGCTTGTTACACTCTTAGATATTGTTTCCTTCTCTATTGTAATAGAACAAAGGGAAGATTTCTAATAAACATATAGACTCAGATATCTAAGGAAGATAATCTAAAACCTGAAGTAATGCCTGGTCATGCTATTCAATTATTCCATGATTATTTTAATTTTTGCAGTATTTTGTTTGATTACTACTCTATGTAGTCTTTACAGTAAGTATGCCATTCTCTTACCTTGCCTGAGAAAAGATGTTAAACTGATAGCTATATGCATTGTGCATATTAAGTTAAGGCAAATGCTTTAAATACTTGTTAGACCTTCAATTTGCTTCCAGAAAATCAAAATCCATTGATCAGATAAGTAACAGTAGTTGACTTTGGATTGTACAATCTTCAGGGAATTGCATGGACAATAAATTAATGTGTCCATATACTAAGGTGGGCATTTCTGACTAGCTTAAAAAATTCTAAGGTATAACAAGGTGCTAAAAACAATTGCTTAACTCCATCATATGATTGGTTAGAAACTTTCCTGAGAACACCTTTAGATTACAACATAGACATAGTACATAATTCAAGTTATTCACTTTTCCCATTTAGGCTTAGTGATGTGTTTTAAAAGAAGAACAAGATTTTCATGCAAAAATATGAATTATACAGTAGTTTTATTGAATCTTTATTGCTAATGCACATGGGGTTCAGAACCATAATGACGATATTGGGCACTTAAGTCATTAGGCTGTCATATTACAGCAAAATTATTTGTACTATATAATCATTGTTCCCTTTTTTATAGTGCACAGATCTCAGCTTAGTTCATCTATCTCTGCCATTACAGTACTATTTTGTTGTAAATATCTATTTTTTAAGGATGATTTGAGTATGTTCCTTGTGGTACAAGTTCATGTTTATTAGACCTTTGCTTCCTTAAAGCTGGAGAAACATGATCAGGGGAAGTTTACAATCTGCCTCATGGTATCTTGTTTGATTATGTATTGTTTCACTGTGTCAATTGCTATATTTGTATACACACAAAAAATTTCAAGGGGAATGAGAACTAGTTTATTTTTTTCTTTCCTCAGCAACATTTCCATCTTATTCATCATGTTTAAGACATGCTCTTGTTCTTAAAGTGGAATTCTGTTTGTATTCAACTTTTTCCTTTAGAGACTTTTAAAGTGTAAATGTTTAAACTGATCTCTGATGATTATTTGCAATAAGAACAAAATCATTTGGGAAAAAAATAAAGCTGAATCTGAAAGCTTCAGCTGAAGATCATTTGTGAGCATAAGGTGAATATGGCTTTGGTTCAGAGAACTGGTTCCAGGGTTCCTTATACTTTTTAGAAATAGATATTGATTATTAGTCTTCAACTGATCGAACTGCTTTTTCAGTATTGGCTTTGCTTGAGTTCAGCACCACGATGAATTGTTTGCTTTATTATTAAATCCTTGAGATATGGCACAATACAGTTCACCAGCAACATAGGCTGCCATGGGTTCCTTTGTAAGTGTGTGTGTTCGTGTGTGTGAGAGAGAGAGAAATTGGGAGATGTACACACTTCTGAGTAGGGATCATTTTGGCTTGGGCAGTGTGAAGTTAGCCCCATACTGGGAAATGGCATATAAGTAAAATCAGTTGTCTATTCAGATCATTGTACTGTCAAGTCAGGCAGATGTTATGCAATAAGCAAAAAGAAAAAAACCTTAAAATGACCAAAGCCAGTTTCTTCTGCCATCATTTATACACAGCATCTGAGTGTATGTGTCTCTAACTTCTCTCCCCAGACCCAAAATCATGATTTGGGGGATATACTGTCAACCAGAGAATACCTATCCAGTCTTTCCTATATTACATGAGATAATCTGAAACTGACCCTTTGTGAGAATCTAAACTTCTAATTTGCCAGAAGTTTTCAAAAATGAAATATTGTTTAATAGTCAGATAAGCACTGCCACTTTAAATGTCGTAAACACTGAGAGCAGAGATTATAGACTTAAAACACCCAGCAACTCTAAGAATCTATGATAACCCTGTCTACTCCTCTCAAGTATATTTAGGGTTTGGGTAGAAATACAGTTATGGAAGGACAACTAGCATTTGAAAGTGGGTACATACTAGAAGTCAGAAGCCTAATTATGTGAGTGAAAGAATAAAGTGTGATTTGTATGACTTGCTCTACCAACTTCAGATACAATTAAAGTCATATTGCTTTTTCCTAATTTTTTTTCTTTAATGAGTCACTCTAATTCCCCATATAAATTGTCCTACTCAGACATTTACATAAAGCCACATGGAGAAAGAACTGGAAATACAATCTGGTTTTTGGTCTCTCTGACTTCAGTCACTGACACATGGTTTTGTGGTTGAAAACTGGCTGTTCTCATTCTGAAACACCCCTGCCCATAGCTGCAGTGAGTCCATTTCTAGGCCAGGCCACCATACCGACTGCAGCATTGCCCTACCCGTAGGCTCCAAGAGGTTGGTTCTTCATGTTGACATGTGCACGTGTTCAGCCACGACTCCCAGAGGCTTGCTGTAGGACTACACTGTCCCATTTGGGTGCCACTAGCCACACATCACTATACCACCAGTTTTCATTAAGTAAATTCTGACTCACAGTGACCCCATGTATGTCAGAGTAGTACTGTGCTCCACAGGGTTTTCAATGACTGATTTTTTTGGAAGTGGATCTCCAGGGCCTTCTTCTGAGGCACCTCTGAATGGATTTGAACCTCCAAACTTTTGATTAGCAGACAAGCATGTTAACTGTGTACAACACCCAGGGACTATGTCACTTTTTTTTTTTCATTGCTGTTGAGTTGATTCTGACTCATGGCGACCCCATGTGTTACAGAGTAGAACTGCTACATAGGATTTTCTTGGCTGTAATCTTTATGGCAGCAGATTGCCAGGTCTTCCTTAAGCAGTGCTGCTGGATGAGTTTGAATCGACAACCTTTAGGTTATTAGTTGAGTGCTTAATATTTGTACCAACAGGGGTCTCACATGTGATAATAGAGCCCTTGAAATGTGGCTAATCCTAATTGAGATGTGCTGTGGTTTTGACATACACAACAGATTTCAAAGATTATACAAGACAAAGAACGTAAACTATCTTGTTAATACATTCTTATATTGATTCCATGAGTCATGATAATATTTTGGATAAATTGGATTAAGTAAAATATATTATTTAAATTAATATCAGCTGTTTATTTTTTACCTTTTCTAACATGGCTACTAGAATATTTAAAATTGCATATGTGATTTACTTTATATTTCTATTGGACATTGCTGGTGTAAGGAGTCTGTGGCCTCAGCTACATGCTGGGCCAGAAGCAGCCTCATCAGGAACCTCCAGTCTATCTCTGTCTCTCCTTACCTGACGCAGAGAACTGCGCTAATCTTCCTTATCCTCTTTGTCATCCTCATCCTTATTTGCCATGCAATGCTCGTATCTTTTAATTTTTTTTCTCCTTCCTCTCCCATCCCACCACTGTTCACCTTTTTCCCAATAGACAGCTGCAAGAATAATTTTAATATATCTTTGAATATGTAAGTATCTTGAAAAGATATTTAATGTTGTTTTGTATATGAATTCTTTTTTGAAGTAATATAACAAGAAGAATAACCTGATTTTGCAATCTTATCTGTGAATAGGTAAATAAGGAAAGAATACTCCAACTCTGTCTAGATGTTCAAGATTTGAAGAAGAGACCCTGAGAGCCAGGATATGTTTCTCTTCTCCAACCTGGTGTGGCTATAAACTCAGACTGTCCTTCAGTGATAATTACCAATTGTCATCTTTCTTCTTCATAAAACACTGTGTACAGTTTACTTTCTTAGAGCAGGAAGCTTATCTGAAAATGTTAAAAAAAAATATTGAAAACACGCAATTAAGAACTTTTGCTTTTTCTGAAAAAGAAACTGAGGACGTTCTTTCATTCATCAAGCAAACATGCATTGAGCACTTACCATTTACTCTGCACTGTTCCAGACTGGCGTCAAGACTAGAATTGCTAAAACATAAATTAATCAAAATAAAATAAAATACAGGCAAAAATCTTGCTGTTATGGAGCTAACATTCTAGTGGGGAAAAAAAGAGAAGTTAAAAAATAATTAACCCAATAGTGGTATAAATATATTAAAAAGAAGTAAACAAGGAAGTAAGATAGAGAGCACCTGAGTGGCAAAGGGTTAGAATTTTAAATAGAGAGAGAGCCTATGAGATAGAGAGAGAGAGCCTACGAGAAGGTGACATTTGGGGGAAAGACCTGAAGGAAAGTAGCTATGTGGATATCTAAGGAAAGAACGTTCAGGTGAAAGTAGCATGTGCAAAGGCCCTGGGGCACAATAGTGCCTAATATATTAGTAAGAAGGACAGTGTGTCTAGAGTAGAATTAGTGACTAATCAGCTCCATTTAGGGGTATGGAAGCTTACCAGGGAGACACTTATTCTGAGGAGACTTCTTTTACTATATTGGTCAAAGCTAATCTAACTTGAAAGTGCTGAATATGGCCCTATGACCTGTAGCAGCAAAGCTAGGGGTCTTCTGCCTACTAGCCTGTCCCTCACTTGCCACACTGATGATGCAGCTCTGTGGATCTGTAGATTCTCCCAGCACCAAAATTCCATCTGCGATTAATCAGATGTTAAGGGACTTAATAAATGTTTTTTAATAAGTAAAAGATGTTTTAGCTGTGACTATTAAAGTACACATTTGTGTGTCCTAAGGCTGCATGGCATGGAATGTACTTCTGATGTGATTTTGGTAAGAATTATCATTACATAAGGTTACTTTGCTGCCATATTTATCAAAGCAGACCTTCTGCCATTTGTAGTTGGGTAGGCACAGTATTTAAATCTTAAATTAAGGTATGAAATAAAAGATTTTGCTGCCTGTTATTTTTTAAGTTAGTATGATTATTAGCAGTAGTGGTAGTAGTAAGCCACACCATGCATTCACCTGGGGGGATTTATACTGCCAGTGCATTTATTGTCATCAAAGCCACAATTAGTAAACGTTCATGCAGTTGGAGAATTTGGTATGAAATGTATTAAAAGTGTGAGGAAATGTACTCTCTTTCAACAAGCAATTCCTAGGGACCTTCCTATGTAATATGGGCATAGCTCTTTATTTGCAGTTAATGATAATATAAGCTTTATTTAATTTTTATATACTTATTTCAAATA